TTTGAAAAAAAGAAAGCAATAATAAGATTATATGAAAGAAATGGATTAGAAAACATTTCAGGAAGGCATCATTAAGTATTTACTGAGCAAATGAGCAGAGATTACCCACATCTTGGTATTTTTTAAAGAGGTATGGTATTTTCTACAACTGCTGCAGAACTAAACTTCAAAAATATCCTCTTTTACAAAAGCCCTTTAGTGTGAAGTTAGTGACTATCAGCAGAGTAGTCAGGTTCATTCATGAATGAAAAGACACAGAGGAATGAGGGGGAGCTGACTGTCGTGGGATAGTTATGGCTGCTACAAGAACCATGAAGTTCACTCGAGGCACAGAGCACAACGAAACTGAGAAAAGACAAGTCTGAGGTCGAGAACACATGCTGGTAGACCTATGTGGGAAAGATCCAAACAACCCTTTCAGTTTTGGAATCTGAGCAGGAGGAATCCCCACCTTGAGCAAATGCAGGGACAAAGGATATAAGCCTAGGAAATCCTGAGGCAGCCGGTAAGAGAAACACCCTGGGGTCCTACTGACATAGAAGGGATGAGGAGGAAACAGAAGACGACTGGGACTGAAGGCAGGACATTGTCATACACCTTGTTTGAAGATTTGCCTGATACCAATAAGGTGAAGTTTAAGACTGTTCCAGGACAGAGTCTACATGCAACTGAGCATCAGGGAGAAAGAACCCAGGAGTCTGAGAGGAAAAGCTATTAGGGAAAGAAGAGAACTCAGAAAAGATCTAGGAACTGGAATTGTTGCTGCTGAAATTTTCAAATTTTGCTAGAAGGCACAAAAATTTCAGATTACTTTCTCCAGAAAAAAAGAAGCTATAATTTACAAGTTGTGATTATTTTTCTCAACAGAAAAGAGGAAGTTGGTGTCTCTCTTAAATCTGTGACAAAACATCTTTCTCAGTTCTTGAATTATTAGGTTATCAGTGCTGCTTCTCAAACAGCCAGCACAGAGTGACAAGAACACTAGCACAACTGAAAGCATGAAACTGTTTTCGATCTCCCTCTTCCCTTATTCTCCTTTTCCATCACAAACACACACACACACACACACAATTAAATCCCTGATTAGGTCTATAGCTGTAAACATATATTGGGTTCTGGGAACACTGGTGGTTTGTTTTTGTTTGTTTTCCTTGGTGTGACAGCAGGAAAAAAATGATACCAAGATTACAAACAGCTGCAATAGCCAAGCCATATTTGGCTGATATTTTGTGCACGTGTGTCTAATAAGTTTTGGAATTGTGAGAAGTTACTGTAACACTTCATGGGTCCTAACAGTTTTCTACCATCTTCTTGAGTTGTTATGAAGGAAACATGCCATGAAATTACTAAAGACCCAAGGACTAAGAAGAAAATCAAAAGGCATCTCCTTTGAACACTGGCTATAGAAGCTACATTTGTTCAGAGGCATAAAAAGAAAACCAAAGTCAACAGGTAAAAAGATGTCAGAAATTGCTTTATAACAGAAAACAACTATTCAAGTATTGAAAGGAGATGGCAGAAACTCAGTAAGAAAAGGGATCAACTTTAAGACCAGATCTTCATCTGGAAACTAAAACAGGAACTGAAGAAGAGAGGAGAAAGACATTTTGATGTAGCAATATAATTGGTCATACCTGAAGCAGAGAAGAATGGGACCAACTCTGAACTAAAAAACTCAACTGAATCTATGTGAAAATGTCCAGTGTAAGTAGAGTCAGGTAAAAAGTGGTGGGAGAAAGTGTTGTTGGTGCTTCTACCAACTAGCCCCTCAGAACTTGTTATCCAGCCTTGTGAGAGGGTTAAAGTTGGGGCAGTCCAGCTAAGGAGCTACTACACTACCAAAGACAGACAGGACTGGTGAGCTCACCCCAGGTTCCTCTCACAAAGGAACCAAGGCTACAATTTGAAGAGTGTGCACTTTTCTGGCACGTATCTTCATCAAAGACATAACTGGAATAGATTCAAGGACAGGAGATCCTCATTATGATCATCAGAGACATCTCCAGCTTCATTCATTCATATGACAAATTTATACTGAGCTTGGTGTTAAGAATTGTTTAGAAGTTGGGTATATAAAAGCAAAAAGACGGAGAACAGCCTCCAAACTGTCATGGAGTTTACATTCTGAAGAAGAGAAAAACAGAGTAAACATGGCTGCAGGTCTTGGTAGATACAAGGAAGAAAAATGTTAAAGGGCAGAGAATAAGGGTGAGTGGCATTGGGGTGGCTTTTTATAGTAGGGTAGCACTGGGAAGAATTTCTGAAGAAGCGATTTGAGTGGAGACCTGTATGAATTCAGGGCGTGAGTCAGGGGAGGGGTGTTATAAGCAGTGGGAAAAGCAAGTACAAGAACCCTGAGACAGAACTGCTTTTGTACAGCGCATTCTGTTTGTACTGGAGTAGAGTATGTGGCAATGGTAGGAAGTGAAGTGGGTAAGGCAGGCAAGGGTCAGACGATTTAGGCTTTGATTAAAGGGGCAGGGTATCTGGATTTTATTTTATGTGCAGTATAAAACATCAGAAGGCTTTGAGAAGAAGAATGGTGTGATCTTAGTACCTTCTGGATAGAGACTGTGGGGTGAGAGTGACAACAAAAGGAGCATATAGGAGACTACTGCAAGTCCGGGCCAGTGATGGTGCTGAGCTGGTCTTGGGTGGTAAACTACGGAAGTGCAGAGAAATAATCAAATGCATTTTGAAGGTAAAGCCAACAAGAGTTGTTACGAATAAATGTAATATATGAGAAAAACAAGAATCTTGGGTAGTTCCCAGGTTTGGGGCCTGAGAAACAAAGTGAATAATTGTGTCCTTTAACTCCACATAGATTTTATTTTTCCATTATTCTTTTGTTGAAAAAAATCAAACTATGCTAGTATGTTCACTCTGAAAACAATTAGACAATTTAAAAAAAAAAAAAACCGGTTACTACATGTTCCAGAAATCTCCTTCCTGGGTATTTATCCCAGAGAACTGAAAACTTATGTCCAGAAACGAACAAAAAAACTATACACAAATGTCCATGGCAGCCTTATTGTAACAGTCAAAACCTGGAAATAATCAAAATGCCCTTTAATAGATGAATGGTTAAATAGAAGTATATTCAAACTGTGAAATGCTACTCAATAATAAACAGGAACAAAGTACCCATACACTTAACAACTTGGATGGATTTCAAGGGAATTATGCTAAGTGGAAAAGGCCAGTCTCAAAAGGTCACATTTTGCACCATTCCATCTATACAACATTCTCAAAATCAAAAAATTATACAGGTGAAGAACAGATCAGTAGTTGCCAGGGTGAGGGAGGCTTAGGGGAAGGAGCGAGTAAAGAAGTAATATGAGGGAGAGCTCTTTGGTGATGAAACAATTCTGTATCTTGATTTCAGTGGTAGTTACAGGAATCTACACACGTGATAAAACAGCACAGAACTATACATGCACATTGTACCAATGCCAACGTTGTTCTGATACTAGTTATAGAAGATACAACTATTGGAGGAAACTAGGGGAAGGACACACCCTCATATACTAACCTTGCAACTTCCAGTGAACCTATAATTACTTCAGAATAATTTTTTAACCTAACTATGCTCAAGTATAAGGCAAAATGCATTATATAAATATCAAAAGTAGTACGGTAGTAAATACTACATCTGACAAAATGTTGTCTTCTGAATTTACAAAGCACCTTTTTTGCCAATATATCTTACCACTTTTGATGTGTAGGCAGCAGTTTAATTTAGAGCGCACCAGGATCTCTTTGTATGTAAGAACATTTTCCTTCTAAAAGCCTCTGGAGCAAACAGCACTTGGAATTCATTCTCTCTGTTACCTCTAAACAGCAAAGAGAACCTGTGTGTTCTTGTTTCTGAACCTGTACAAAGGAGTACAGAGGGAGGAAGGAGTAGGGAGGGAGGGAGGCTGACCAACTGTTAACACCGGTGCTTCAACAGCTTGCAGACTTCAGGACTCTGAGAATTACCTTGCTCAGGCCCAAGACATTGACCTTTCACGGGCCAGCTGACACTCCTGGACTCTTAACATTTTTCCCATTGGTGTCAAAATATAAAAATTATCTGACGTTGAATCTCAAAAAGGATGGCTCAGACTAAAAACCAGTGACCAGGACCCAGAGGCTTAACAGGTGCTAACAGCACTAATCACATCTCCCATATGATGGTCTTAAGGTTACTCTGGGTATCAGAACTAGGCTTGGATAAATCATCTAAGACAACATAAAACAACTTCTTTGGTTGTGTTTTTCCTTAATGTTCTGGTCTTCTGCATCATCTAGCCTCAGTCTGAGTGTACAACACACGGTCTTTCACTCCTTTAGAGAGCGTTCTACTCCCAAGAACACCATCAAGACACTTATACTCAGGTATGCAGCTACATCCTAGACACTTCCATCACTGCTGAATGAGCTTATATTTACTAATCCTTTCATTCTCTCAGACTAGCATATATATTCAACCTAGAATTTTATAATGGAGACTAGATACTTAAACCTCTTACTAGTCCTAATTGTAAAAACCTACATAAAACTGTATCCTGAGATCAATTTTAATTCAGGAATTCAATTGTTAACTCAAACATTTCCTAAACAGGGTATCTCATATCAGATCCTGTCTGCTTTTTCAGAATTCAATGGATTTCCAGTAAAACCTATGGAACATGCTAGATGCTGCCTTTCTAGATGTTGGTTTCCCTTTGGAAATAGCTCTGTCAGGTACAATGCTATGAACAGAATTAAAGAGTTCTCATTCTGATTTTCATATCACTCTATCCACACTGTTTTACACATGTTAATATGTTCAAAAAAGTAAAATATATTATTTCACATTTTCATTTTCTGAGGCTGGATAAAAATTAAGCCAATGTAAATAATGTGGATTAAACACCTTTTTGAAGACAAAATAATTTCATTTTACTCCTGTCAGAAACTGAAACCTGGAGAACTGCCAGCAACAATAATTTTAAAATATTATAAAAGATACTTACAGCCAACCATCATCATGGCCACCGAAAACATCTTCTCCACATCAGTAGTAGGAGCTATATTTCCAAATCCTATGGTTGTAAGGCTTGTCATGGTAAAGTAGAGAGAGGACACGTATAGTGAATCCTTGCTGGGTCCTCCTTCCCATATCCCTGCACTGGTATTGTATCGATACGGAGTCCCAATGCTCAAGGCCAGCTGGTAGAGCCAACTGTCTATCTGGATGGTGTTGGTGACTTCATCAATGACCTCGTAGTCCCCAATGCTGTACCATATGCAGGCCAGCCAGTGAGCAACTAATCCAAACACACAAACCAGCAGCACAAGGACCGCTGCTCCATACTCTAGGTAATGGTCCAATTTCCTAGCCACACGGCCCAGTCGCAAGAGACGCACCACTTTTAAAGAACTGAAGAGACTGCTGATACCCTGAATAAAAGAAAAGAAAAGACAGAACACTTTCAGAAAAGAGAAGGCTGGGGAAACAAGACAATGGCTCACCTTCATGAATTCAATCACCATTTATACACTAAGCACATACACATAATACAGTTCCGACTTTAAGTCAATTTAAAAAAAAAGCTGAAGTGATAAAAACTTTTTAAAATGCAGATTCCTTCCCACCAACAAATAAGACATTTGTGAACTATTAGATTAAAAACTTTTCATTAGCTAAGGAAGACCCAGTTTATGCTCGTAGGTGCAGTATAAATAGCACCAAAGGAGAAAATGGCTCAAATGCAAATTACACAGAGTTTGAAAAGGGGTGATGAATTCAGACTTTTTATTTCTGTTTTCTATAAGACTTTTCCTCTACCCTAAAAGATTTAATTTTATTTCTTACTTTATAAAAGCTATGAACAACAAAACTTCTGGAAAAGGAATCCTAGTTTTACTGTGAAGCAAACAGGAAATATTCTTTACACAGAAGGAGAAAAAGCAAATGCCATTGCTGGCTCCCCACCTCCTGCCACAGTTATGATAAGCATTAAATTTGTAAAGCTGTGGAAATGTGAAGAGTTGAACCTAGAATGGTTACATACCTACAAAGTCCTATCATCCTCCAGGAATAGTCACAGAAAAGAATACGATAAGGGAACAGCAGCAAGAAAGTTCACATTTTGTTGAGAAGCTTAAAACACCAAATATAGCATTACCCAAATGGAAACATAGCATAGGCTTTATTCAATCAACAAAGGTCCCACAGTTACTCTCTTGGAAGCACGTAATAAGCCACCCAGGGAGAGAGGATAAAGGCATCCCTGATGCAGGAGGGAAAGACAGGCAGTGATCCAGGACGCCTCTCATCTGATCATCACCTCCTGGAGTCCATGACTTCCTTCCTTACCGCTGACTGTCTCCCAGCTGGGAGACAAGGAATCCAACGTAACTTACTCTGAGCTTAAATTGTGATCAAACTGGAGGAACTGGGAGGTATAGTGAAACAGATATACCATTAATGAGACTCTAATTATGGCACTGTAAAGTCGTTCACAGTTCCAGTGAAATAGGTTACAAATGCATTTGGTGACACTATATATGGTAGTATATAGCTGAAATTTTGCAAAATAAAAATTTGAAATAGAGAGAGAAAACAAAGAGAAGTAGAAACAAGAGGTCTTGTGGAAGTAAAAGAGGAGCAGGAGCATTCTGAGTTTCCTGCCTCAGCCTCGGTATCCTGGCTATTTCGATTATTGCTCTCAAACACTGCAGCAGGCATGCAGCCTTCAATCGATTCTTGTTTCACTTGAACACTTGGAGAGGTGAGGAGCAATACTGAACTTCAGACAGTTCAAAAGAGTGGCATTAATAAAATTCAGAAAATGAACTGACACAATTCAATGACATGAGATGTTGAGAAGAAGATTCAAGGCAGTTTGGAAGTTCTCAAAAAAGGAACTATGTAATCATGAACAAGAAAGACAAAAATAAGTATTTATTGAGTATGTCTATACAGCAGGCTCTGAGTTCAGCCCTAGGGACATTAAGACAAATATGCCTTGCTTCTGCTCTAAAGAAACCCATAATCAAAACGCATTAGAAACTCAAATAGGGTTAAATTAAAAAAAGAAAACAGTATTGCTGTAGGTGTTGTTCTCCACTTAGCTCCAATTTTTAAAGGAACTGTGGTACTTCTGTTTAAATACTGCAGAGAAAAATTATTTCTACCTAAATTGTTTTCTCTAAAAACAACTAGAAACAAAGAAGAGAAAACAGAGGAAAACTTTATCTCTATCCAAACTAAAAAGTAGTCACAACCCTCAACCAAAATGCAGAGAATCAAGACCTACTAGAATTAGGCCCAACTAGAGGGAGGACACACTCCCCTGACCTCTGATGTAGGCAGGTTTCTCCAAAAGGAGGTGTTCCACCTTGGGGGTACCTGCTCTGACCGCTACTTAATCACCATTTTCTACAGCCATGTCTAACATTATTCAAATGTTACAAAATATTTTATAGGCATTCTAAACTCTCTTTGTTATGGGTTCTGTAACAACACTTTCTCCTAGATTTTAGCCAACTCCCCAACTGACATCTCTTTTAAAATCATTTTCTGAGGCTAACCTTATCCATGCTTCTATTACATGCTGGGATTGTCATCAGGATTACCGTCAGTCTCTTTGGTTGATTTACTATGTGTCCAGGTTTCAACTGACTTCTATATATGGAGGATTCACAGGTCTACTTCTTAGTACAAAGCCCTTTTCTGAGTTCCTGTTACAGAAGCCAAATGCCTGCTGTCCATTTCCATTTAGATATCCCATAAGTATTCAAAGGTAATACGTCCCAAAGGGAAACCCTCATGTCTCCTGAGTCAGTTCTCCATCTCCTACTCTCAAGAACAACGTCATCATGAACCCGGTCTCTCAGACCTGGAGCTGAGCCCCCTCTTCCTGCCACGTCCACCCAGTTATCAAGCCCTGAGGCTCTCACCATTCAGAGTGCCCGAGTAAGTTTTCAATCTGAATAAATATCTCAAAAATTTCCTTCTTTCCTATTCCCAAGGCCACACCTTGGTCATGACTTCATGTTTTTTTCTCACTTGCGTGACAGCAATAGCCTCTCCATCAGCCTCCCTACCCTATCCTCACTCCCCGTAATTTGCTGATCACACTGTATAAGCTACCAGTCTGGTATTTTTTTTCTTTACGTCATGTATGCCTAATCATGTCCCTCTCATCTAAAGTCTCTAATGTTAGCTCATTACCTATAGGATTAGGTATTCACTCCCTACTATGACGTGAAAAGCCCTTCAAAACCCAGTATCTGCCTGTCTGGTCAGGATCGCTCCCACCAATTCCTCCTCGTGGTCTCTACGCTCCAGCCGCACACAGCTCCCAGAGTGCCCATGCTGTTTCATGCCACAATACAGGTTGTCCCTCTGCTTAAAGCACTTTTCCCTCTCACTCTCTGAAGGGCTAGGCTCTTACTTATAGTTCATGACAAACACTCTCTTCTCCTGTGCATTTCCTTGACATCTTCCCCTCCCCCACCATCTTCCTTGTCATCCCCTCACCCTCTTCCCCCACTGTGAGAGTTAGGTGTCCTTCCTATCTCTAGGATTATCACACACTCTTTGTCCATCTCTGTTACAACAATTATCATAATAACACTTTATTACAAGTCTCTGTTTGCATGCATGGCATCCCAGGAAACTAAACCCCTAGAGGAATATACCTAGTCAGTTACAAAGCTTGGCATACGGTAATATGTTAAGCCGTCAATACAGTCAACAGATGAATGAAAAAAACTTTTACAACACAAGTAAATGTAAATGGGGTGAATCTGTGTGTGGGGTGATGGGGAGGGCAGGGAGCACAGTTAATAATCCTATGTGGTAAATATCATTATTAAAACATAGCCTAGGAAAATTAGGTAATTTAACTCAGTTCACGCAGCTGGTTAAGAGGAGGAGCTGATTCACATACAGGTAGTCTAGTTCCACACTCCTTGCTCCTAACTACTTCACCACCTGACCTCACTTTGACCCTCACTATATCTGGAGCACGATGTGTAATCTAACTGATCACATCAGTACCTGCAATGCTGGCTTAAGCACAGGCATTCACTGGCTGAAACACTGACCAAAGGAGATTAAACACCTCACCTCCCTCTGATTCCCGCCTACGCACAAAGGTGGCGCACTTGCGGGTCCCTAGAGAGTCTGCAGCTCTCTGGCATGACCAACATCCTCACGACACCAGGACGCCTGTGTCCACTTTTCACAGGAGGACCCTGAAACAATTTAAACTACTGATTTCTTCTGCATCATATGATTTTGAGGAGAGGGAGAGTCACATTCAACTCTGTATCTAAAATAAGAGATTTTACTTACTTTATACCTCACCCTCATAACCTTTACATTGGCTTCAAATTATACTTAATCTCTTGTTGGGAATTTTAATTTAACCCATATAATACTGGATACCTGGGTGGGCCAATCCTCAATAAAACAACTACCTTCTGTACCACCACCTTTTTTGCAACAACCTCTTGAGTCTGTATTTTCCACAGGTTTTATCTGCTTATTCCTGTTCTGCTTGATTTCACGCCACACTTTCCAATCTTTCTGTGCCCTTTTCTGCACTCCAGTGGCATTCTGTCTCTATCCTAACATCTGAGCTCTGAGATCACAAATCCCTGGGGTTCCACTGGTGGAAGAGAATATCAAACACATAATATGCACAATAGAACACAGCGGAATTAACGGAGAACTTTCAGTCATCATCTTTCCACCTTTCTAGCCAATTTCCTTACTTGACGAGCACCTCAGGCCATAGGAGCATAAAGAACAACATCCAGGAGATATCTCTGTGTTATTAACTCTTCAAGACTTTTCTGTGGATTCCCCCATCAAAGAGATATGGGATGTTAGCGTAAAAATGTCTTGCAATGATAAGGACATTTGAATTACAAGTCAGTTCTCTCATGTGATCATCTCTAAGGACAGTAGGCAGATAGCTCAGCTGGTATTCTGTCCTACCTTCTTCCTCCCTTGCTTTATAAACAGAAAAGAAATGATCAAAGAACTTTCTTGTCCAAGGATACATGACAATTAAGTGGGGGTGATAGAGCAGGAGTACAGACTTATAATATCCAGTTTGCTCAGTCTGCATTCTTGCACACAGGATGTGTAGTAGACTATTTGAAGAAAAAAAAAAGTAGCTGTGGTCATTTCCTTCTGTATCCATACCCCTTGGCAACGTGACTTTGCATCCTCTCCCATCAAAAGATAGGTCTATTTCCCCAACTTGCTTAAGTCTAGCATTATGATTTTGGCCAATAGCATGTGGTGTAAGTGACACCATGCCAGTTCCAAGCCTAGACCTCAAGAGGCAGAGCCTCCACTCATGTTCTTGGAATCCAGCCCAGCTGCCATATGATGAATATCTCATAGGCTTTAGGAGAATGAGAGACCATAGGAACAC